TGAGGCCCCTCTCAGCTTTTCCAGTCTGATCCTGATCTGGGATAGACTCCCCACAAGATGGAGCCCCCCATCTTCTCCCTTGTGACTTGACCTCTCCTCCTGCTTCCCGGGAGGCCTGCTGGTCCTCTGGGACTCTGTCTCTCCTGTCCCTCTGCTCTGGTTGCTTGCCCCCAACACCAGCCTGTCAGCAGCTCACGGCTTCAATAAACTTTTTTAATGGCTGGATGTCCTCTCGTGCTCTGGAACATGCGGTTTAAGTAAATGTCCATCTCCTTAGCCAGGAATGTTTCTAGGAGGGAAGGACTGGGCTCAGCCATTGACAAGGGACAGTAGCCACTTCCCCTGGGGATCATTGGTTGTTTGAATGAAAGATGTCTCAAGTAGGCTCATGCATTTGAATACTTGGTCTCAGGTGGACGGTTCTGTTTGGGGGGTTGTGGACGTTTTAGAGGGTTGTTTGGGATGTAAGTTACTGGGGGCAGGTTTCTGGAGCTGATGATACCTTTGGCCCAGTTTGAGTTCTCTCTCTCTCTCTGTTTTCTGCTTGTGGTTAGAGACATGATCTCTGGCTTAGGACTCCACTCATTGGCTGCCGTTAATCTCCTACTTCTGTGGACTCTAAGCTAAAATAAACTCTTTCATCCATCAGCCGTGGTGGATATTCACAGCAGCAAAAACTGATCCAAACCGAGGCTAAGGGCCCTGGACGGGGAGAACACTTGCCAACTCAAACCAGTGTGAACCTGCTGTGTGTGTTTAGGGGGTCACTGGGGGCCTCAATCCCTATACCTCCCTGTTACCCCTCTTCATCCCCTCACTCCCTCTCAGCCTGCTGTGGCTCCTGATACCTTGGGCATCACTGGGAAGGTTCTGTTCCTTGTCACCTGCCAGCTTCTAAGCTTCACACTATTACCTGGAAGTCCCCAGGGAACAGGGTCACCCTCTTACCATTGTGAGAACTTCAGGAGCAGAAAGATCCCCTCTGTTCCCAAAGGGGACTGCACAAGAGACTCCCACATTGTGACCAAGGTGCGTTGAGCTGACTCTGGAGACCACACAGGCCCGCTTTAGAAGTCCATGGAAGTGCCTTGCAGGCTCACAGGAGCAGAGCCTCGCTAAAGAAATAGTAAGCGCGTACACATTTGCACGCGTGTACACATTTGCACGCACATAATCAACTGGCTGGCTCACTGTTCGGCTCTTTAGTCCGCCTATGTTAGGCTAAGAGCAGCTTGGTGAGATGGGTTAAATAAATAGCCCATAGCAGAAAGGACACTGTTGCCTTTGAGAGCACAGAACCCACCAGGCATGCTGCTTTGTTGACTGTAATAAAACACACAGAGCATAGACTTTACTGTGTTTGTCTTTGCGAGTGTGGCTCGACCAGCATGGAATTCATTCACAATCTTCCTAGCAAACCCCAGCTATGCTGTGAATTACTGGCCGCTTGTTCCGCCTTCATCCCCGTCCACACCCCCTCCACAGCTCCTAGCACCCTGCTGTTTGTACCTGTGTGGATCTGAGCCTCTGAGGAGCTGCGCAGAGTGGCTCAGCACCTATCCTTCTGGCCTGGTTTGTTTTACTCAGTGTGAGGTCCTCCAGACTCCTTCAAGATGGAGCAGGTCAGAACTTACTTGACAGCATTCTGTTGTGCACATAGGCTTCTTGTACTGTCGGGGCAGAGGGTTGGTGTGAGGAGGTTAATGAGTTCCCACCTAGAAGTGCTACTGGATAGGGCGCCATTAGCTCCACCCACCCTCTGGTTAGCACCACCCTCCTCCTCTCAGCCCCACCCCTTCTGCTAGCCCCCACCCTTTCCCCACCCCCTTGGCTCCGCCCTCCTTCCCATCTGTCTCACCCCATTGGCCTCGCCCGTCCTTCTTGGTCCTTCCCGCCTCCCTTCCCTTCAGCTCTGCTCCACCTCTGGCCCTGCTCTCCACAGAAGAATGAATACCTGCTCTCCCTGCTGGCGGAGGAGAGGGACACGCTACTGCTCGGCCTGAGGTACTCACCCACACAGCTGCACTTCCTATTTCTCAGCGAGGACCTGGCTGGTGCCTGGCAGACCCGTGTGTCCTTCTGGAGCCCTGGCCTCATGGACAGCCGGTGGCATACTCTGATCTTGGCTGTGTCCCAAGGATCCTTTTCCCTCACCATGGACTGTGGCCTCCCAGTGGACATGTAGGTACCAGGATGTGCATCTGATTGACCATGTTGTGTGTCATTTGTGAAATGGATCCTGAGTAAGTCCCCCCCCCCCCCGCCCCTGCCTTGCCAAATCCTTTACCTGAGGCTATGGAGAACACCTTAGGCGCTAGCTCCAAAGGCAGGTCACTAGTAGGGCCTTATGGGAGACAGGCTTCTGTTATCGAGTCTGGGGCCATGGAGCAGCTACACAGCTCTGTGAAATGGAGGGGCCCAACTGGGGGTCAGAAACCTACTTGGAGCAACTGTAGCCAAGGACGATCTGAAACCCTTGTGTAGAGAATACAGGCCAGCAATAAGGGTGCGGGTTGGGCTCTGGAGCTAGGTTACCTAGCACAGAGTGGAGGTGGGCTATGAGTGGAGGGCTGGCTCCCTGGTATCCCCGGCCAGGAGCTTAGTAGACTGCAACAGAGAGGGCGGGAGGAAGCAGGAGCTACCAGAGAGAGCAGTCAGTCATGACACACTGCTCCGTATGCAGAGGCTCTGGCCACATGTCCCCTCCGTTGGCCTACTCTCTGTCATGCCTTCCTCAGTGTATTCAACCTGTCTAGCAATCACAACCAGTACTTTCCAGAGCCTTCTGGGTCTCCAGCAAGGTGCCTTCCTCCTACCCGTAGCCACTATCCTGCCCTGCTCCCGGGCTGTGTGAATGCACATGGGTCTGGGGCTCTGATAGAGGAGAAGGACCCTGAGGTTCCAAGGAAGTAGGAAAAAAGGACCTATATGTGTATCCTCATCACACATTCCTGAAAGAACTCCTGTCCTGGGGTAATGTGCCCCAGCTCGTGTCCACTGGGGGCTATATATATGCCATTACCTCCTAGCTGAGTCCCAACTGGGTCTTAAGCCAAGTCAAGATGATGTTAGCTGGGTGAGACGGGTCCTGATGGGGAGGCAGAGACCACCGATGTGGAGGGAAAGCTGCAAGCATGCTCAGATGCAATAGGAAAGGAGATAGAGGTAGATGTAGAAAGATGTAGAAAGGGGTGTGGAAAGGAGACCCTGGGGCCACTAGATCCGGAGGGGCTGAGTCCTCCTCCTCTGCCTGAGGGAGGGCACTGCCTAGCAGGCTCTGGACCTCCAATTGCTATGGAGCCTGTCGTCACAGCTGCCCAGGATACTCATTTGTTTCCATGGGAGACCCATTCCTGACTTTCATAAGCAAATGAGGTTCTTCTTTGACACTAGTTCTGTCCACTCGTGTTTCAGAATGGCTGACGTTTCCTTCCCACCCGCCCTATCTGTAAGAGGAGCCCGGTTTTTCATTGGCAGCCGGAAGAGAACCAAAGGCCTATTCACAGTGAGTGTAGAGCCAGCAGCACCCCTCCCCCTGGGGTATTGGAGACACCCTGTTACACGCTTTCGATGATAGGTTGCCATCTATGCTAAGGATGAATCAGGAACACAAAGGTGTCATGGAATCTACCACAGGGCTCTCACACTGGCTGTTCCTGTTTTCTAGCACATTCTTCTCTAAGGTTCTTGGGTCCCTGCTCACATGTCCTCCTACCACGGAAGCCTGTCCCCAACACTCTGACAAACTGATGCCTGAACCCAGACTTTCCATCCATCCATTCATTCACTCATCCATCCATTCATCTACCCATCCATCCACTCATCCATCCATTCACCTACCCATCCATCCACTTACCCATCCATTCACCTACCCATCCATCCACTCATCCATCCATTCACCCACCCATCCATTCACTCATCCATCCATTCACCTACCCATCCATTCACTCATCTATCCATTCACCTACCCATCCATTCACTCAGCTATCCATTCACCCACCCATCCATCCACTCATCCGTCCATTCACCTACCCATCCATCCACT